TGCTCTTTTCTACCAGAAATGCCCTCTCCCTTTGGGCTGCCTGGCAAACTCCTACTATTGCCCAAGACTCAGCTCAAACAGCATCTCTCTTGGTTCCCTCTTGTGTACATTTCAGACACTTCTTTTCGGCATTACCACATCATATTAAATGGTTTGCCTGCACGTCCCAGAACCACCACCAGAGACGAGCACCTGAGTCTTACTCATATTTGCATCTTCAGAGACTAGCATATGCCTGGCACATAACATGTGCTACCAGTACAGACAGATCTAGCTTTTTTAACACAAGTCCAAACTTTAAAAGACAAAAAAAGTGAATGCTTTGAAAACACAAAGATTGAAAAGTGGTAAGAGATATTACATCTTACCTGTAGTAAAATCCAAAAAGGGAGAATTGATTCAACTGACATATAATTAGAAACTATTTTTCTCTACAATCACAGTTTTAGGGGAGAAAGTGTTAAATGGCTTATAGATTATAATAAAAATCTTACTGCACTAACTTAATCCAGAATGAATGGCTAAGCATAACTAAAGATGCAAAAGGAAATACATCAAGTTCAATTGTGTCCTGAAAGAAAGCTAGATCCCCTCGGTGACAAACCTGCTGTGTAGTTTTAAATGTAAATGCATTTTTAAGGGAAACAAACTGGTGTTAAATCCACGACTGGTTGTCATTCTGGATTATTATTTTTTATGGGCATCCATCATTATAAACTTTTCAGCTTCTATTATTATCAAAGGAGTAAATAATTGCTTCTTTTTTTTTTTTTAAAGATTTTATTTTTCCTTTTTCTCCCCAAAGCCCCCAGAACATAGTTGTGTATTTTTCAGTTGTGGGTCATTCTAGTTGTGGCATGTGGGACGCCGCATCAGCATGGCCTGACAAGCAGTGCCATGTCCACGCCGAGGATTCAAACAGGCGAAACCCTGTGCTGTCAAAGCAGAGCGCGCAAACTTAACCACTTGGCCACGTGGCCGGCCCCGGATTCTGTTTTTAAAGTTACACAGCACATCTTTACAATGAAATGTATAGTTAAATACATTTTCTCCACAACAAGATACTGATAGCACATACTTAGTTCAAAGATAAGTTTTTATAAGCAATGATCAAAAACTTTAAATAGATCAAATATCTTTCTAAAAAATCCAGCAAATTGATAAAGTATTTTTAAAAATTGTAACAAGCACACTGAAAACTAGATATTGAAATAAATATTAAATTGAGTCTATGTCATTTTTAAAGTCACTTTGAACCCACTCTCAATAGCACAGTGCTTTAAGTCATAAAGCAGAGGAACAAAATTCTCAGTTCACCCTCTTTCTCTCCTCTGAACTGGTTAACTTTCCTCTTCTTCCACTCCTATTACATATTCAGCAGCAGGCTAAGCTAAAGGTATTTCATGGGGCTCCAAAGACAGAATGGCCTCTGCAGATGCCAGACAAGCAACACGGAGAAGACTGGATTCCTGCTTTGACACCAAGCTTAGAAGCCACACCCACAGACAACGTCCACAATTTTCTTTGTCTTCATTTCACCGAGACCTTCCTTCCTCGAGGCCCACAATACGTCTAGGTCCTGGACTTCTTGCTTCAGTACCTACTCATCTGACTCTGAAAACTGACTGTTGGACATTTCTCAGACAGTCACCAAGTGGCGAAGTGGTAGCTGGAGGATGCCTAACTTGTTTCCTGTGTTTCTAACCCTGTTCTAATAAGAGAAATAATAATAATAGCTCATACTTACTCAGTGCTGGCTCTGTTCTAAGCACTTGTAACAACCCTATGACACAGACGACTGCCATCCTCAGTTTGCAAATGAAGAAACTAAGTTTTAGGAAAAACGAGTAACTTGCCCAGGGTCACACAGCACATAAGTTATAAAGCCAGGATTCAACCCAAGGTTGACTGAAACCATGCTATTCATCCTTATTCTACACTCTCTCTCATAGGACAAAAACGACTCACTGTTTGCTATTCTTGAACACGTTAGAGGAAAAAAACAGGAATGAGTTATGCTCATTCACTTGTTAATCTATTCAACAAATATTCATTAGCTCCTCAAAACTCTCTTGTTTGACCTTAAGTCCTCTGAAGTGTTTCTGAGTATTTGGCATAAGAGAGATACTTTGAATAAATGCTGTATTCCTCTTAAATGAAAAATGCCAAATATTTGGTATTATAATCCTAAGCTTCAAGTTGAGAAGTTCTTTCTCTCAGTCTCACGGAGGACGGCTTCTATGAGTACCCTATGGTGCTCTATTCACCACCCCACTTGCAGTAGTGTGATTGCACTAACAACTGTGAGAACAACAAGAAGCAATGTGGTGGCAGATGTGTCTGTGACGGCTGGCTCCCTGAGAGCCAAGCCTGCTTTCCTCCTGGCTCACAGAACCCTAACTGTGTCCTTCAGAGACAGCTCTGCCCTTTCCTCGCCCTTGGCTGAACCCTGCTCAGGTGAGGCAGGAATGGTGGCTTGTTTCTTTCACAGGCGACAGGGTTTGGACTGGGCCAATGACGCTCTTCTGGCCACTGAGGTGTGAAGAGGCGTCTGTGTGCTGTGGAGCTTTGAAGAAGCTTCTTCTCACTCTTAGAAGGAGTCCCAAGACAGGGATACTCACTTCTTTTGCTCCTTACCTTGAAGGGTGATAAGATGATACTCAGAACTATAAGCAACATATGAAGAAACCCACTGAGGACAACAGGTGGAAAGCAGGGAGAACTTGGGTATCTGATGGCACGGCCAACCCTGAATAATCAAGACAGGACCATCCCACCCCCACATACTGGGTTATGTGCAATAATCAACTCTGACTGTCAAATCCACTTTTAGCCGTATTTTCCATTACAGTAACAGCCAAGGCATCCTAACTGATACAAACACTTATCAAAAACTGCATTTGAAAAGAGAATAAGGAAGGACAACCTAGAATAATAGTCAGGAAAAAAAAAACCCACACAGTATGTCTTCAGTTCAAAAAATCCGGTTATGCAATTGTAGAATGACATAAACCTGGTTTAACAGCAGTTCAAATAATAAAGATCAAGATGCTTTACTAGCAGACTCGAAGCAATTCAACACTGTGACACGGCTGAGGAACACAGGATGATATGAGAACCAGAGGTTCCAGATTATGGTGGCAAAGTCTTATAAAGCTCAATACCGATCACCACATTTCTGGAATAAATTAGGTATACAGCATCAAAAGTCATGAAAGACAGAAGAGTGCGTGAAGGAGCTTACCCGGAGGGGAAAGATAGACCGCGTAACGTGAAGGCAGGCTAAAGGAGTTAGAAAGGCACAGTCTGGAAGAGGGAAGACTAAAAGGGGCACGATGGCTCTTGTTGAGGGTTCTCCTAGAAGCGAGCATGACCCTCATCTCACCATTGCAGAGAAAGGCATTAGAAGCAATAGTTGGTTGATATGGAAGGTAGGTTTGAGCTTAAAAGAGCAAACTTTTTTAACCATTAGAGCAACCTAAAAGTCAGATAAGTTATCTCAGGAGATAGTGAAATTCACTTTCACTGAGTGAAGTAAAGACTGAGTGACCATCATCAGGAAAATTCTAGAATAGTAATTCCCAGAGAGTAGTACATAGACCACTAGTTGTACAAGAGATGATTTTAACTGTTATATACATTTTATTTTATTCATTATATACTTACTCCAACATACACTAAAAGCTAATAAATGTACATACTAAGTTAGCCATCAATCCCATGGCTTCATGAATATAACTGTTTTAGGATAAGTAAAATAATAAAGTTCATTTAAAGAAAAACATTAAATCAGTATATCCCATTTAACATAATTGGATATACTATTTTATGATCTGTTAGGTAAAGCCCAAAAATGTACAAAGATAAGCAACACAAGGCACTAAAGATTTAAGAAAAAGAAAAAAAAACTTTTGAGAGGAAAAACATTAAAACAAACAAAAAAGGAAAACATTAATTATAAATGGTATAAGAAAACAGCAAAATCATGAAGGTACCACAAAAGCATCTGAATTTCGGACATGCTGATCTGTGGGGATTCTTGCGTTGAACATCATGAAACTGAAGTCCTCCTTTCCCAAAGTCGTCTCAGTATTCAGTGATTCTACGAAACATGGTCATCTATGACTACATTTATTCAAGGAGGCTTCACAATGAGATCGAGGGACTAAAATTTTCCACTCCACTCTTAGAAACATTGATTTTCAATGGCTATAGCTATAAAATCATGTCCGGAATCTCACATAACCATTCTTTTATCACAAAAGACTAAGGTTCTTGCATCTAATACGCATTTCCTGAAGGCCTTCTAGGGGCCAGGCACTGTGGCAGACACAAACTCGAAAGTAAACGTGCAAGTTTTCATTTGAAGGATCTATTGCTACTTTGAGGAAAACTTTAAAACATTTAAGGTCAAACACCAAAAGAGAATGTCTTCCCCATCACGTTCATTAAAATACATATGTATGTGAGTTAACAATGAAGGCCAAACTACTTTCTATGCTACCCATAGACACACACACAATATCCAGACACACGAACCAGATTTAGATTTAAAATTTCTTCAGTAAGCCCTGCCTCAGATTCAGTACGAGATGCTCTTGCTCCAATATATTCTGAAAACCCTTAGGAATCTTACTGAAGCCCTCCAGGCGACCTTGTGCAGTCTCTGAGAAAAGTCCGCTCACCTCTGTCTTAAGGCTGTGCAGGGCAGGCACACCCTACAGTGTGAAGACAGCGGGGCCCTCTGGAGGAGATGCAGCAGTGTGCTCAGGACTGGAGGCGCTTCACTGACTCATGAGAAGCCTGACCTTTTCCTGCTTCCCAGCTCCTCAGGCCAAGAGGTGTCTTATGTTGAGTAATCAAATAATAAGTGACATCTACCATGTACAAGAAACACTAAAGCTCAAACTTCTTGTCCCCTAAAGACACTTCCCCATGTTTCCATCCCCAAATGGATTTCACCCAGAGAAAAACAAGCAGCCCAGAGAGCTCCTTCCCACCTCCTGAGTGTGTTCCTTGTAGACTTGCAGCGGCCCTGCGGCTTTGGCGGTGTCCCAGAGCTGCAGCGAGCCATCGCCACTACAGGTGACCAGGACGTGTTCATTGTTCTCACTCCAGGTCACATCAAACAAACCGTCGTTCCACTCAAAGCTACGCCAGGAAAATTAAGACAAAAAATCTAGTTATACAGGCAGCTGAACATAAAATTAAAACCATAATTTTACATTTTTTTTTTAAGTTTACCACATATTTTAACACACATTATCTCACATGGTGTCCACAACTATGGGAGGTAGGCAGAGCAGGCACTTGACAGGTGCAGACTAAGTTCAGAGCCCAGGTCACCCAGCTGGAAAACTGCAGAGCTAGACTGAACTAGTTCTCTCAAACAGACTGGGGGTTACCAGAGGGGAAAGGGGTGGCGGGAGGGCGAAAGGGGTGAAGGGGCACATGGGTATGGTGACAGCCACATACGCGTCAAGGCTAGACTAGTAGTGGGCAGCACGATGTAGTCTATACAGAAACTGATCAATAGTAATGTACACCTGAAAACACACAATGTTATAAGCCAGCATCACCTCAATCAAATAATTTATAAATCAATAAAATAAAATTAGTTCCCCCAACTAGAAATACGGCACTATTTACAGGAGGGCATGCTGCCACTAATGCTAAATTAGTATTCAGACCAATCATTTCAACTTTTCCCACAAATCTTTCCCCTGAGGCACGAGCAGGTAGTTGTTGTCTGATGGGATTTCCTTTCCCTGCTCCACCACTGACCACCCTGATGGAGGTGTCAGTGAGTCCAGCAGTCACGCAGACAAGACAGGCGTGGAAAGAAGACAGGGAACGCAGGCCAGACAAGCCACAGGACGGAGACTTAGCTCCTGACGGGTGGAGCTGAACTGCGTCAAGCAGACAGCAAAGACAGGAACGCCACCCAGACACTAACGCGTGCGCTCTTTCTCATGTTTAAGTTTTATGATGTATAAATGGACACTGAGGGACAAGAGCTTTAGCAGAAAAATGACATAATCACAACTTAATGGCAAAAATAAGTTCTACGCTTTGGAAATGCTGAAGTTTCTTTTATATTGCAAATTTAAAAATCTTTCATTGATCAAAAAGATTTAAAACCTAATTCTATTAAGGCTTTAAGACCAACAGAGAAGACACCTAAGTTTAATAATTAGAGCCACCTTACCTTCTGAAAACCCTAAGCCCAGATTCATTTTGGTCCAATATTAGCAGGGTTCCACAGCCTAAGGAGACAAAAAATCGAGGTCATGCTGTCGAACCTGCGGGCGGCCGTCTAAGGTCAAGGGGGGATCAAGCACTGAGTAGCCATTTTACTACACAAATTTCTCCCTATGGTTATCGAGACCACATACACAAAGTGACAGGACTGTGCTCTCCATTTCTGTCTATACTGTGCTTCAATCATTACAATCAAAATCAGGTTCCCGAGACCACAGGGGAGGACGCGGTCGGTGTCCCGAGACCACGGGGGAGGACGCGGTCGGTGTCCCGAGACCACGGGGGAGGACGCGGTCGGTGTCCCGAGACCACGGGGGAGGACGCGGTCGGTGTCCCGAGACCACGGGGGAGGACGCGGTCGGTGTCCGGAGACCACGGGGGAGGACGCGGTCGGTGTCCCGAGACCACGGGGGAGGACGCGGTCGTTGTCCGGAGACCACGGGGGAGGACGCGGTCGGTGTCCGGAGACCAGGGGGGAGGACGCGGTCGGTGTCCCGAGACCACGGGGGAGGACGTGGTCGGTGTCCCGAGACCACGGGGGAGGACGTGGTCGGTGTCCGGAGACCACGGGGGAGGACGTGGTCGGTGTCCCAGGAGCACGGTGAGGGGAGGACGTGGTCAGTGTCCTGAGACCATGGTGAGGGGAGGACATGGTCAGCGCCCCGCGACCAGAGGGGAGGACGCAGTCAGCGCCCAGGGACCAGAGCGGGAGGACGCGGTCAGTGCCCGGGGACCGCCGTGAGGGGAGGACACGGTGAGCGCCCCGGGACCAGAGGGGAGGACGCGGTGAGCGCCCCGGGGCCAGAGCGGGAGGACGCGGTCAGCGCCCGGGGACCAGAGCGGGGAGGACGCGGTGAGCGCCCCGGGACCAGAGGGGAGGATGCGGTGAGCGCCCCGGGACCGCCGTGAGGGGAGGACACGGTCAGCGCCCCGGGACCAGAGGGGAGGACGCGGTCAGCGCCCCGGGACCGCCGTGAGGGGAGGACACGGTCAGCGCCCCGGGACCAGAGGGGAGGACGCGGTCAGCGCCCGGGGACCCGGGGACCAGAGCAGGGAGGACGCGGTCAGCGCCCCGGGACCAGAGGGGAGGACGCGGTCAGCGCCCCGGGACCGCCGTGAGGGGAGGACACGGTCAGCGCCCCGGGACCAGAGGGGAGGACGCGGTCAGCGCCCGGGGACCCGGGGACCAGAGCAGGGAGGACGCGGTCAGCGCCCGGGGACCAGAGCGGGGAGGACGCGGTCAGTGTCCCAGGAGCACGGTGAGGGGAGGACGTGGTCAGCGCCCCGCGACCAGAGGGGAGGACGCGGTCAGCGCCCAGGGACCAGAGCGGGAGGACACGGTGAGCGCCCCGGGACCGCCGTGAGGGGAGGACGCGGTGAGCGCCCCGGGACCAGAGGGGAGGACACGGTCAGCGCCTGGGGACCAGAGCGGGGAGGACGTGGTGAGCGCCCAGGGACCAGAGGGGAGGACGCGGTCAGCGCCCAGGGACCAGAGGGGGAGGACACGGTGAGCGCCCTGGGACCAGAGTGGGGAGGACGCGGTCAGCGCCCCGGGACCAGAGGGGAGGACGCGGTCAGCGCCCCGGGACCAGAGGGGAGGACGCGGTCAGCGCCCCGGGACCAGAGGGGAGGACGCGGTCAGCGCCCCGGGACCGCCGCGAGGGGAGGACGCGGTCAGCACCCCGGGACCAGAGGGGAGGACGCGGTCAGCGCCCGGGGACCAGAGCGGGAGGACGCGGTCAGCGCCCCGGGACCGCCGCGAGCGGAGGACGCGGTCAGCGCCCCGGGACCGCCGCGAGGGGAGGACGCGGTCAGCGCCCCGGGACCGCCGTGAGCGGAGGACGCGGTCAGCGCCCCGGGACCGCCGTGAGGGGAGGGGAGGACGCGGGCCGCGGGGGGAGCGTGGCCGTGGGGACCGGACCTCCGCCGCCGGCCCCGCCCGCCGGGCGCTCACCCGCGATGCCGTAGTGCTGCGCCGCGGCGCAGGCCAGGCGGCCCGGCAGGTACGGGGAGAACTCGGCCGCGTAGCCGTGGCGGCCCGGCACCCGCAGCGTCCGCGCCGCCGCGCTCATGCCGCCCGCGGACCGCTCCGCTCGGACACCCGGCGACCACCGCGCTCGCCGTGGGAGGTCGGACCCGGAAGGCCGGGCGGAAGTGACGACACGGGCCCCGAATGCGGGGCTCCGACTGGCCCGCGAAGGAGAGGGCGTGACTCCGACGGGCCCATCTTTGCTTTGGGCAAAACAAACTGAGCGGCGGACCAGGCGCGAGGCGGTTCCCGGTTGGGAGCGGCCCGACGGCTGCTGTGTCCGCGAGTCGGCCTCGCCGCGGGGCCGGCTGCTGTTTCCTAACCCTGGGGCTTCGGAGGCTGCCGTCGGGACACGGTGCGACCCTCGCAGGGGAGGCACGCTGCGGCCGGCGCCGGCCCGGGGCCCCGGAGCGCGGAGCCGCCAGGCGCATCCCAGGGGCGGTAAATGGGCGAGCGAGCGAGGGGAGGCTGTCGGAAGCAGCTTTTTTTTTTTTTTCCCAATGCTCTCTACATATACTTTATAGTATTAAGTGCTCAGATGCGGGCTGATTAAGGAAAACTAGGGCTTATTCATTCAAACATCTACCAACGTGTACTACGTGCAGGAGGGCCACGTATAATTTATCCGCCTAACGAGACACTTTTGAGAGTGAAAGAGGGTGCGGTTAATAATTAAGCCTGGTACAGGCACAAACCTAGTCGTATGGTCAGCTTAACTATACGCCAAGTACAGTGCTGGGCACTTGGGATTCAAAAGCAGTGAGCTATAGTCCCTGCCCTCGAGAAATTAGTCTAGTAGACGTGTCGTCAGTTAAGCAGGTGCTATGAGAAATGTATATGGGGTATTTAAAAAAGGAAATTGTCAGGGCTGGAGGATGGGGATGGGAGGAAGAGCTTCAGAACAGAGGTAATGCTTGTGGTGAGTAGATGATGAAGTTTTCTTAAAATAGACAAGGAGGTGAAGGTCATTGTAGGAGCAGGAAGAACATGAGCAACCCAAGAGATCTAAAACAGTGTGATCGTCAGAGATGGCGGCTGCCAGGACTCAGCCTGTGCAGGTGGAAGGAGTGTGGCGAAGAGTATTGGGGGGAGGGACTAGAGTGTTGTACTGGAGCTGGGTCATGAGCAGTCTTGTGTACCAAACCAAGGGAATTGGATTTCTACTGTAATTTCAACAAAGGAAACCATCTGAGTTTTCTAATGTGAGAAATTAAATGACCAAGTTTTCATTTTGAAAGATCTTCTGGCATTACTAATTTGGAGGACAGAGATTAAAGGTGGGGAGGCCTGTTAGAAGACTTCAGTAATAGTTCAAGCAAAAGATGATAAGAATTTAAACAAAGACTGTGGTAATGGGAGTGGAAAGTAAGAGTCAGATGAAATTTTAAGGGAATAGCTCTTATAATATGTAAGGAACGAGGAGGAGTCAAAATGACTCCCAGATTTCTGACTCGGGTGCCTGGATGGATGCAGGGACTGTTAACTGAAGTAAGGACTATGGGAGGAGGAGCAGGTTTGGGGAGAAAATGAGCTCCAGTTTAAACAGGTGGAATGTGAATTTCTTATGGGCTATTGGACATACCAGTCGGGAGCTAAGGCAAGAGTTCTTATCTGCATGAAGAAAATATGTAAGCTGTGGAAAGGATTGCCCTCACTCAGAAGAGAAAAGGGACAAAGACAGAATCTTGGAGGAAACACCCGTGTTTAAGAGATGGCAGAAGAAGAGCTAGGATGGCTGAGAGGGACACAAGGTGGATCCTATTAATTAATCAAGTAATCTGTTCTGGAATACAGCTCAAATTGGGAGGATTTGCACACTACCCCCTGAGGCATGTTTAGGTGGACAGGTTGGGGTGGGTCCTATATTAGGAAGATGACTCAACAGAGATCATAAGAGTATCAAAGAAAAGAACATAAAACATCTCTCATGGTGCCTGGTGCATAGTAGGCACGCATAATAAAGTGACCATCACTATTGTAGCAAGCAAGAGTTTACCAGCACAGACTCAAGTATGCAAGAAATGGAACATTTCTTTATTTTCTACAACGAACTTACATCTCCAGCTCCCTAGGCTGTTAGAAGGTTCTTCCTGGCACTCCCTGGGATCACACCAGAACCCGACACTAGACTGTAAAGTTCACAGTGGGAGGATTGTCGTTTTCTTCACCCAGGTATCTCAGCGCCTAGAACAGTGCCTGACAAATGGTAAAGAGTCTCTAATCTTCTGGCTTTTGGGGTCACCATGGATAGCTCCCTGTGCACATCTGATGAGCATGTGAAAGTGCATTTCTGTGTCATGCTTGCACCTAGGCAGGGCCAAGGTATCGTTACTGAGAGGGGCTCCCACTACTGGGGGCCCCGGAAGCCATTCCCACTGGGGAGCAGGGCCAGATTGTTGTCACTTCTCCATGCTGAAGAATCTTTCCCTCTGCTCCCTCCCTGCCATCGTATGGTCATCTCTTGCCTCTCCCTCCTCAAGGACACATCAAAGCTCTCTTCAGTGAGTTTAATGATTGTGAGTAGCGTTGCTGCCAGTCCCTCAAGTGCCCTAAGACCAAGGATCACAAACCACCTGGCTATCTAATCAGAGCAAGGGCAGAAAAACTACAGCACAACACAAACTAATCCCTAATCGATTGTCCTGCCATACTATTCATTAACAAAAATGGATATAAATCAATAATTAATAACATTGACAGTAACAACACGGATGTGGAGAAGCTGCCAATTAAAATTACATGTAGGCATATCAATTTCAAACTACAGAAAATCAAAGATAAATTTAAAAATCCTGAAAGAAGACAGAAGAAAAAACACCTATCAATGAACAAAGATAAGAATTATATTTGACTTCTCCTCAGAATCCATACAAGCGAAAAGAGAGTGGAGTGAAATATTTACAGTGCTGAAGGAAAAAACCACCAATCTAGAATCTGTGCACTGTGAAATTATCCTTCAAAAGTGAAGGAGAAATAAAGACTTTCTCAGACAAACAAAAATTGAAGGAATGTGTTGCCAGTAGACTTGCTTGCAAGAAATGTTAAAAATTCTTTAGAGAGAAGGAAAATGATAGAGGTAAGAAACTCAGATGTACATTAAGTAAGGAAGAGCACAGAAGAGGAAATAAGTGGACGTGAAATAAAAATTTTGTTTCTCTGATTCTTAATTGATCCGATGAAAGTGTGTTCGAAGTAACAATACCAACGATGTATTTGTTTATGTATGCTTATGTGTCTATCTTATGTATCTATGTATGCTTTTATATCAGTGAAATGAACGAGGGCAATGATACAAGGGGTGGAAGGCGGAGGGAGGAGTTAGGATTATTTTGTTATTATGAGGCATCACGTTACCCATGAAGCGGTATAGTGTTATTTAAAAGTGGACTTGGAGCGCCTGTAGATGTTTATCACAAGCTCTAGAGCAACTACTGAAAAAAAAGTTTGGGGCCGGCCCCATGCCCGGGTGGTTAGGTTCGCGCGCACCCCTTTGGTTGCCCAGGGTTTTGCTGGTTCAGATCCTGGGCACGGACGTGGCACCGCTCATCAGGCCACACTGAGGGGGCATCCCACATGCCACAAGTAGAAGGACTCACAACTAAAATATACAACTATGTACTGGGGGGATTTGGGGAGAAAAAGCAGGAAAAAAAAAGAAGATTGGCAACAGTTGTTAGCTCAGGTGCCAATCTGTAAGCTAAGAAAGGAGAGAAAATGCTCAGTTAAAACCACAAAAGGCTGCGCCAGCCCAGTGGCGCAGCAGTTCAGTGCGCACGTTCTGCTCCTCAGTGGCCCGGGATTCTCCAGTTCAGATCCCGGGTGTGAACATGGCACTGCTTGGCACGCCATACTGGGGGAGGCGTCCCACGTATAAAGTAGAGGAAGATGGGCATGGATGTTAGCTCCGGGACGGTCTTCCTCAGCAGAAAGAGGAGGATTGGCAGTAGTTAGCTCAGGGCTAATCTTCCTCAAAAAAAAAAAAACCCACAAAAGGCAGAAAAAGAGTGGAAGATGAAAATCAGAACTAAGAACAAGGACAACAAATAGAAAACAGTAACAAATATGGATACACCTATATCAGTAATCACTTTGAACATCAGTGGTCTAAATGGACCAATTAAAAGACAGAGATTGTCCAAGTGGATAAGAAAACAAGACCCCACTATATGTCTTCTACAAGAAACTCACTTTAAATATAAAGACACATAGATGAAAAGTAAATGGATGAAGAAAAATATACCATGCTAACACTAATCAAAAGAGAGCTGGAATAACCATTAATTTCAGACAGAGCAGACTTCAAAGCAAGTAAAGCTACTAGGGATAAAGAAGGGCATCACATAATGGTAAAGGAGCTAGTTTTCCAAGAGACACAATCCTTAAAATGTACGTGCCTGACAACAGAGTGTCAAACTACATGAGGCAAACACTGACAGAGCTGCAAGGAGAAGTCAATGAATCCACTATCATAGTTAGAGACTTCAACACCCCTCCCTCAGAAAGGGACAGATCCAGCAGGCAGAAAATCAGTGAGGACATAGGTGAAATCAACAAGACCATCAATCAACTGGAAATAATTGACACCTGTAGACTACTTCCCCCAAAAACAGGGGAATACACATTCATCTCAAGCTCACATGGAACATTGACCAAGAGAGACCACATTCTGGGCCGTAAAACACTCTGTAATAAATTTAAAATAATAGAAATCATAAAATGTCTGCTCTCAGACCACAATGGAATTGAATTAGAAATCAATATCAGAAAGATAACTGGAAAATCCCAAAATACGTCAAGATTAAACAAACACTTCTAAATAACACATGGATCAAAGAAGAATTCTCAAGAGAAATTTAAAAATATTTTGAACTAAATGAAAATAAGAATACAACTTATTTAAATTTGTGGGATGCAGTGCTTCGATGGAAATTTATAGCATTGAATTCATTTGTTAGAAAAGAAGAAAGATGTAAAATCCATAATCTAAGTTTCCACCTTTGGAAACTGGAAAAAGAGCAAATTAAATTCAAAGTAAGCAGAAGAAAAGAATTAATAAAAATTGGCTCAAACACATACAACTCAAGAGATAAAATATCT